TTTTGCAAATTTCAATTTTGATATCTCAAATGTTGAAAATCAAAGATATCAAGCTGGAACGACTATTAGTATAAATTACAAAATCATTTGGGGAAGAAATTTTCACATTTACACCGACCTCACCACTGTCCCATGATCTCGTGTTATTGATAGCAAGTTTAACTGTCAATAATATCCGAAAAAAAAACTCTTGTAAAGAAGCACTACTACCTGGCCATTTTCTGCCGCTTTTTGCGTGGACACAATTTAGGAAAGATCCTTTATTTATGGCCAAAAGGCCATAAAAAGAACGTTGAAAAGGAAGGAAATGGCAATGCAAAGCATTTTTTAACATTTGTCACTTTTGCCTCCAACTTATAAGTAAATGCCCCCTCCCCCCCTCCCCCCCAGTGAAGTGGTTCTCTATAATCTCCAGATACATGCAAAATAGTCAGTCTTCACTAGTCTCGTAATACTGCTCGAGTGTCCTACTGACCTCGCGATACTTGTATAACTCGTTCCTACAGAAGCGCTCCCTGAAGGGACACAAACGCACACGATGTGCCTCAGCCTTTGAGGCGCTGGTAGTTTCTAGGAGAAAAGTCTGGTTAAGCCTTTGTTATGACCAAAATCACTTGATGACTTTTACGACAGGCGTTATGGCTGTGCACTGTTAGCAGACTGCACAGTGAACAGAGTAGATATGGACTGATTTGAGTGCAGTGGGCATGTGGAAGCAACTATGAACGTAAATGGTTTTGTTTCTAATCGGAAAATAGTGGGAATGTTCGAAAAACAGTCCCTTGACGTGTTTCAAAAAATTGAAATATATGCACCTTCTGCTCCATTTGACTCATGAACAATAGGTTATGAGGCAAGTCAGTTATACATTCACTAGATTCACCTAATGAATATCCTGTCTCAATTAGTATATCGTATGCTCAAACAAAATTTCTCTTCGTTTAGCACTGAAGAAGGTTTGGACCATATGAGCCAGTAATTGAAAGAATTACATTTAATTCAAAGAAACGAAATGACTCCAGTTGGAAAAAAGATATTTATCCGATCGCATATTTTCTCGCACTTGCAATACGTCATTCCCACGCCGTTCTTAACTTGATAGTTACCTTCAAAGGCATTTCCGATCGGTAGTCTTTGCCACCAAATTCATCAGTTATCACCGCAGCATTCTCGCCATTCAAATTATGTGAGGCAGCCTTTGGGACTGCAAAAGTCACACTTCAACATACAAAACTCCCAAGAATGTTATAGCTAAGACCTTAAAAGGCAAAGCAACCAACCGGGTGCTGCTGCTTCTTTCTCCACTTGTTTGTCTACAGAACTGTTTGAAAAACCTTCTTCCGAGTTGAATTCGGAATTGTAAGTTTCCCAGCGACCTCTCCGCTTGCGTTCACGACGCGACATTCCTGAAATGTAGGCGGTGCCAAAGAGATGGAGTGTACGTCGATTTTCGAAACGATGGGAGAGAAGCAGAGAACAGGGGGCATGGAACATCGTCGCGAAGTGAGAGGTGGATGAGACGCAGTGCTTCGGGAAGCTAAAGTTCACCAGGTACAGCGCTGATGAAATTCCGAACCCAGTTTGCACCGGATGATGTCATGGACCTAACTCGTTCTGTTCGTGCCTACTTCCTATGTGATAAAGAGGAGCTTGATTTCATCGTTTTTGTTTAACATCTGGCAATGATTTTACAGATATGACTTCTTTTCTCAAAAATCGTAAAACAAGACAGGGTTTGATAGTTATAGTGCTGTAAAGAGCAATCCTTAGGTTTTCGCAGAAAATTGCATTGTCATTTCTAGCAAATATTTCGTAAGTTTGTAGAAAAGCCCTCGTACTCGCTAGGAATCAGTGAGAGTAATGTTGAGCTGAAGTCAAATAATTTGGTCAAAAAGTTTGGCCAACTAGTTTTTAACTTTAAAATTTTCGATGTCAGCCGTAAAGGCAATATATCAGCCTCTTATACTAGCTTGTACTTTCAAATAAGCATCATTTGCCGAGATCAGTGGTATCTAGAGAGCTATATCCGACATATATGCTCCTCTCAAAATCTTATTCCATTTATACTATTTTCTGTTTTCTTGCATATTTTTCAAATACCTCAAAAAGTGCTTCCAAAGTGTAAACAAAATTCTTCCAATATAAAGAGCAGCTCCATTTACTCATCCTTCTGCTGCCGTTCTTAGCATGTCATATACTAGTTTGAGGCTTTACCATGCCCCTTGTCAAAATCTACACTGCGCAACCGGGTACAGGTAGAGCCAATAAAGAGCCTTCTATCCAACTGTATTTTTACCAGAAACACACTCATTGCTTAGATGTGCTTAGTATCAACAGCCATACCGCAAGCTTTTAAAGCCACTACGAAGTCCTATTCTAAACTTTTTTTTGGCTTAATTCGGTAACTTCTGCAGCTATGACGTTTGGAAGAGGGTTGCGCGTCAA